GGCACAGGACTGCAGCACTGGGCACCCGACAGACCCACCAAAGGCCTGATCCCTGCCTCAGGAAGCTCGCAATCTCATTTTAAACAAGATGCAACTTTGCAACCAGGAAGGCTAGAAGCTTGCAGTGCTGGATGTGCACTGAACGAGTCAGGTAGGTCCCATACATCCCACCCAGGCTCTGTGCTGGAGACTGCATGCTCACGGGGTACTTCCTCCTACACGTACCAGTGGCTGTCGAACGTGGCAGCGCAGGAAGAGCAAAAGCTTACTGAGGGTAACTGTTGTGAGCAGCATTAGAAATCAGGAAAGCCAGTGGCCTACCCCAGAGTTGTAGGCATTTCAACTGTTTAACTACAGATTAAATCCAAACAAGTAACAAACCAGATTTAACAGCCCAGAGGCTGCTGGAGCTCAGTAAGCTGAATCAGGCCACAAGCCTGGGACTGGTGTAAATAAAAAAGCTGCCTGCCAGCAACCTTCCCACTCCCAGCGTTCCCTCCAGGTGCCTTCAGAGTGCACAGCTCTGGATTCCAGACTGGGATTGATAGTTCAGTGGGTACACACGCATTCCAGAAGCCAGCTCCTCAGTGCACCGTAAAGGTGAGCACAGAGAAGTGGGAAAACAACAGTATCACCCCCTTGCTTTGTTTCATAAAAGTCACTAATAAGGGGCCTGAAGAGTTTCATGTTACAAATTCTGGCCCCTTGGAAAAAACCGTTAGACGGAGCAGTCTATGGAGAACTAGTGGGCTTGATGCTTGAACCTAACTGAGGCCTGGTCTGCAGTAGGCTGGTGTATCGGTATAGCTCTGGGGTGTGAAAAATCCAGAGCCTCGAGAGACGCAGCAATGCTGATCTCACTCGAGGTGTACAGAGAGTTAGGTCAACGGAAGATTCTTCCCTCAGCCGAGCTAGCGCCTCTTGGGCAGGTGAATTACCTACACTCTCCCCTTCCTGTTGGTTGTGTTAACTGCAGCGCCATTTTAAACACAGACACACCTTGTCTGAGGCAGGAAGGGATTTTTATTCAAGCAGGAGAAGACGCTGAGTAACCAAGACAAAGTTAAAAAAACCCTTAAACAACAATCGTCCCATACCACCTTAGAGACTAACAACAACATATAAATAGTATCACGAGCTTTCACTCTTCAGATAACAAATATGACAAAAAAAGAAGTAGGCTGCGCCCACAGAAGCTCACAATACTATTTATATATTTTGTTGGTCTCTATGGCGCTACAGAAGTATTGTGATTTTTTAATTTTTTTTAGTTACAGGCTAACACGGCTACCCCTCTGTGACCACAAGACAAAGCCAAAAAATTGGAACAAATAGCAAAAGACTCAACACCTCTACATCGACGATTAGGGATGAGAAAGAAAGAAAGCCACTGAGGCTAAGTCTACACAGGCACTCTGCAGCACCATAACTTTCTGGCTCAGGGATGTGAACAACCCCCCCAGCCCTTCACCCAAGTACAGCAAGTTCCAGTGCTGCAAAGCGCCAATGTGAGAGCGCTCTCCCAGAGCTTGTGCCATGGCCACATTTCAGTTTAAAGCAATGCTGCGGCTGTACTTTCAACTTTTAAGTGTAGACAAAGCCTCAGTCATCCGTGAAATCCTTCAGTGCATACAGGAAAACAAAACCTGACAACCCTGAGCCTTCCTAGGCAAAGGACAAGCAGGAGGCACTTGCTCTGAAAGATCCATTCAAGCCTCCTTCCTGCACAAACAGACCAGGGCACAAACGCCATCTCTGACTTTGGCAGCTGCCTCCCTAGAGCGCCTGGCGCCAAACATCAGACACAGACTTGGCTGCTTGCCATTAGTAATTGCAGGTTCTGCTAAAACTCAGGGAGAGCAAAGGAAGGACATGCCCCACCTACCTGTTGGCTTGACAGCTGCTGGTCCAGCAGGGGCAGTCATTTGGGGCGGGTTGGGAGCTGTTCTGGGAACTTCCCCAACCACCTCAGGTTCATCTGGATGAAGGAAGGAAAAGCGACCGTCATTTCAGTGGCTGCATCAAACGAAGAGCCTCTGCCGCCAAAGGAACCCGTGAAGGAGAAACTCCCCATGCCTGTTTCTGGGTAAACACTGGATGGGGTACTTCGCTGCAAAGGTAACACGCCTCCCATTCCACACAGCAGCAGCTCAATACACTCCTCTGGGGCGATCACTGCATCTTGCCCTGCAAAAGCACTAGTAGGTTCTGGTCCCTGCTCTGGGGCACAACCCAGACAGCATAGCCCCAGCCTGCCACTGGCTACCACAAAACCTCCCACATGGCTCACCTGACCATACTGAGCAGCGGGGAGGGAGGCAGCGACTAATTGAAATAATTGGGGGCTACGCAAGGCAGCAATGGGGCCGTGTGCACAACCGAGCTGCTCAGACTCCCTGCCAAGTTCCCTCTTTCATAAATAAGATCAGCTCTCCCCAAGACCCGCGTAAGGCCAGCCACCACAGGCTGGCAGATTGCTTGTAGGCAGCATGTCTTAAGGAGGAAAAGAGCAAGACACTGACCCAAAACAGAAAAAGGGACAGCTCCCGCCCCTACTGCTGTGGCAAAGGTGGAGCCAAGCAGCTGCAGGCAGTTCTGGGGGCAGATAGCCCAGCAGTCTCTCCCTCCCGTGCCCTCTCTCCCAGCAGCTCTGGTACTCCCTCTGCTAATCTCTCCAAGGAAATTCTCTGGAGATCATACTGCTTAGTCACCTACTGGACAGGAAGTCCCCAAGCTTAATTGAGAGGCAGGGCCTCTGAGCACTACACAACATTTATGTGGACATTCTCAGAATGCTATGCCGCTGATTCCCAGCTCGTGCTCAAAACAGCCAGGAAGCCCAGACCCCAAGCTCTGCCTTCCATCCCTTATGTCACTGCACCACACGCATGAAGGCCGGTGGCACAGCATCTGTTTTATTAACTGCACGCTGAGATCTTTATTTTCCTCTCATAGCTTCTTTTCGAAACTGAAACCGGCAGGGTAGCCCCCTTGCACAGCCGGGCAAAAATCTTCGCTTCCCTTGCGTCAGATACTAACTGGCATTCCAGTGAGGCACCAACTGGGCACAGATGGGATTGGGGGTTGCCAATGGTGAAATAATCACATCATTAGTGCAAAGAGAGCAGTGAGCTCAGTCAAGGAAGCCACAGGGTCTGTGGAAAGGGAGGCTGTGTGGTTCAAGAGAAGACATTAGCTTCCACCTCAGAATGGCAGACTGTTCTGGGAGTGTTGGATGGGCTAGGTATTGCTTTGCCAGGGGTGGGCACGGTCAGGCCCAGCTGCTCACGTGCATCTAGTTTTCCATGACCTGCTATGTCCGCTGAGTGTGAACTGAGTCAAGCTATTATCCAAGACTGAGAGCTCTGCTGCAAAGCAGAACATGCTGCAATTAAATCTGTGCAGAGCCACATCCAAGGTCAGACACAAGTAATGCACCAAAGCACAAAAAGGGAATAAATCCCAGGGTGCAATATCAGCACTACCTCCCACAGCATCTACCTCCACCATCTCCTGACCCTTTGCTCCCAAACTACAACTGCCGATCCAGTCACTCGCATCAGGAGCAACAGAAGAGGCTAAACATCCAACTCGGGAGAGAGACAGCTCTCCACAACAGCTTCCACTCCTATTTTGGAAAGGTTGAAACGGCCCATACTATTCAGACAGCCATGGGGCAAGCAATAAACCAAAGCATCAGAGAACTATGAGCGTATAAGGAAAAGCCTTTGCAGACCTGCAATCCAATAAAGAACCCCTTGAATAAACATGATGCACCAGCATATTACCAGAGATAACCTGACCTATTAGATTGCATGACAGCACCCAGCTATTCAGGCTGCTTCGTACCCACCATCTTGCTATTGAGGGCGCACATCGAAACCAGCCCAGCAACCCCGTACCCACACTAGTAGAGAAAGCTACAATACACATATAAAAACCTGACAATCAGCCGCATACCAATCACCCTGCCAGTGAGGACTACAATACACCCACAGAAACCCACCCAACATCTGGACATGCACAGGGCTACAATACACAGGCAAAAACCAGCAAAGTGTACCCGCTTTCATAACCGGCCAGCAAGGACTACAACACTGACACAGAAACTGGCCCAGAGGCCACAAGCCACTTTCTTTTCACCAGATCAGCAGCACCTGTGCAGAAACCCACTCCACAGCCCTACACCTGTCCCTGCCCACCACGGCCACACCACACACGTAGGAAATCATGGCTGACCTGGTGCTGGGGCACACACAGAAACTCACTCACCGACCCCGCCTCTCGGGCCAGCCAAACGAAGAGGCGGGACAGGAAAACCCCCCTCCCCCG